AGAGGGGAGAAAACAAACAGAAAGCCAAAGGCTTTCTCCTTCCCTTTTGGGGCTCTTCCATGCCCCTCTCCATCCCAGCAGAGGGGAGAAAACAAACAGAAAGTCAAAGGCTCCTTCGGCTCCTTCTCCTTCCCTTTCAGGGCTATTCCGCACCTCTCTCCCATAGCCACGCTGACCCCATGCCACTGCCCCTCCCACACTGCCACCGCCACTGCTGTTGTGCCCCAAAAGGGTGGTCGTGATCTGGGGCTACTTCCCATAGCCGTACCGTGCCCCACCCGCCACCGCCCATGTGCTTTGAAAGGATGTTCCAGGGCTGCTGCTTTCTTCATTGTCCCACCACTCTCTGCTTTGGATTTCACCTAATAAGTTCTTCCCAGAAAAGGTGTGTGTGTGTGAGAGAGAGAGAGAGAGAGAGAGATAGAGACAAGGAAGGAAAAGGAGGAAGGGCAAGAAGGAAAGAGCAAGAAAGGAAGAAAGAGGAAGGGAGAAAGAGGAAGGGAGAGAAAGAAAGAGAGAAAGAAAAAAAGAGCAAGAAAGGAAGGGAGAGAAAGAGAGAAAGCAAGCAAGCAAGAAATGATGGGAGAGAGAGAAAGATCAAGAAAGAAGGAGGAAGGGAGAGAAAGAGAAAGAAGGAAAGAGGAAGTGGAGAAAGAAAGAGAGAGAGAAAGAAAAGAAGGAGGGGGAAGAGAAAATTCTGTGCTATTATTTTTAATTGTTCCATTACTTATCATATATTAATATTTTACACTGTCCCTACACCTAGAGTGATTTTACCGCCTTTCTTTTGCCCAGGTATTTTTCACGGTTTACATGTCAATAGTCCAGAGCATAAATACAGGTGCGTTTAACAGAGTTAAAAGGGACTATGGAGGTCTTCTAGTCCAACCCCCTGCTCAGGCAGGAAAACTCTGAGGATGCCAAAATCTGAATAGAGGTCCTGGAAAAGGTGTCAGAATAACAGAATAACCCTTAGAAGGGACCCTGGGGGGAACTCTTACCATTTCAGAGAAATGGCTGTCCAGTCTTTTCTTTTTTAAAAAAAAAAAAGTTTATTAGTTTTTACAATTAAAATCAACCAACAATACATACACAAATAGGCAAAGGAAAGGAAAGAAAAGAGGAGAAGGAGAAAAGGAAAGAATTTAGAAAAAAGAAAGAAAAAGGAAAAAGGAAAAAAAGAGAGAGAAGGTTAAAAGCATTCTTGTTTTTACAGTTTGCAAGATCTTCTTTTTTTCATAACCTTAATTTATGCCATGTACCCACACCTGTTCTTTACTTATATCACTACCTCATTATTATAGGTTAATACTTTTCTCTTATGCCTTAAGATATATAATTTATCTTTGGTCAATCCAATTATACCAACAATTCCAGCTATCATAATATAGTGAAGTGTCTTTGTTTTTTAGCACCAAAGTCAATTTATCCATTTCTGCACATTTTGAAATTTTTTCAATGATCATTTCATCTGATGGAGTTTGATGTTGTTTCCAGTGTTGAGCGAAGGCTAATCTGGCGCTGTTAAAATGTGTATTGTTATGTATTTGGCTTTTTTGGAAATTTGCTTATCAAAAATCCCTAACAGGAAGGACTCTGGTTTGTATTCGATCTGCTCTTTTGTAATTTCTTCCAACCAAGTTTTGATTTTCTTCCAGTACTTTTGGGTTTCTGTACAAGACCACCACATATGGAAAAAAGTTCCTTCTTTTTTCCTACACTTCCAGCAATACGGACTCATGATAGGGTGCATCTTCGCTAACCTCGAAGGGGGGAGGTGCCATCTATAAAACATTTTATAAAGATTTTCCTTATATGCTGCCGATTTGGTGATCTTATTATTTCTACCCCAAACTTTCTCCCATTCCGCTAATGTGATGCTGCACCCTACGTTCTTACTCCATGCGATCATATTTCCTTTTACAATTTCTTCTTCTAATTCTGTTTCTAATAAGTAATTATAAAATTTTGTTATTTTTTTTTTGATCCTAATAAGATTTTATCTAATTGTTGCAGTTTATTATTAATTCCGAATTCTTTTTTGTCTTGTTTGTATCTGCTTTGAATCTGAAGGTAAACCCATTGATCAATTTTTTGTCCTTGCTCCTGAAGTTCCAGCCTCGGTTTCAAATTCCCTTTGGGTCCAATAAGTCTTTGTATTTAATCATTTTAGTAATCTCCAGATTGTTTTGTTGAATCATTCCCTCTATTGTTGAAATCCATACTGGTACTTTTGTATAATGTTTTTTCCATATTTTCCTCCAATTTGTTAATAGTGCGTCTCTGATTAAATGTCTATGGAAATATTTTTGACTGGTTTTCCCTACATCCCATAAAAAAGCATGCCACCCCCTTTGTAAATCATGGCCTTC